TAAGTGTGCAGGGCAACCACCCACTAGAGCATTACAATAATCTAGCCTTGATGTCATGAACGCATGAACTAATTGTTCTGCATTTGTTAATGAGAGCATATGGCGTAATTTAGATATGTTTTTAAGATGGAAAAATGCGGTTTTACAGATACTAGACACGTGACTTTCAAATGAGAGATTGGTATCAAATAGCACACCCAGGTTCCTAACCGACGACGAAGACTTAACAGAGCAGCCATCAAGTGTTAGACAGTATTCTAGGTTACGTGTGGAAGTTTTTTGTCCAATAATTAGAATCTCTGTTTTTTCAGAATTTAGTAGTAGGAAATTACTAGTCATCCAATTTTTTATATCGGCTATGCATTCCGTTAATTTTGTGAATTGGTAAGTTTCGTCGGGGCATGAAGAAATATACAGCTGAGTATCATCGGCATAACAGTGAAAGCTAACTCCATGTTCCCTAATGATATCTCCTAATGGTAGCATGTACAGAGTGAACAGCAACGGTCCTAGTACTGAGCCTTGTGGTACGCCATACTGAACTTGTGATCGATAAGACATATCTTCATTTATTGCTACAAACTGATGACGGTCAGATAAGTATGATTTAAACCATGCTAGTGCAATTCCACTAATGCCAACATAATTTTCGAGTCTATTTAAAAGAATGTTGTGGTCAATAGTATCAAATGCAGCACTAAGATCAAGTAACACTAATAGAGAGATACAACCACGATCGGATGATAAGAGCAAATCATTTGTGACTCTGATGAGAGCGGTCTCAGTACTATGGTACGGTCTAAATCCGGACTGAAAATCCTCGCAGATATCATTTCTTTCTAGAAAGGAGCACAGTTGTGAGGATACTGCTTTTTCTAATATCTTTGACAGAAAAGGCAGATTCGAGATCGGCCTGTAATTGACTAATTTTGTATGATCAAGTTGCGTTTTTTTAACAAGTGGTTTTATCATAGCCAGCTTAAAGGTTTTTGGTACGTATCCTAGAGACAAAGACGAATTAATGATAGTAAGAAGAGGATCTATGACCTCTGGAAACATCTCTTTCAGTAGCTTAGTCGGTATAGGATCTAACATACATGTTGTCGATTTAGATGATTTAACGAGTTTAGAAAATTTGTCCTCTCCTATGGCAACAAATGAATCAAATTTTTCCTCAGGGAGACTACAATGCACTCCCTGATGCGATACTGTGGTAGACGGTTGCATAGTTATAATTTTGTCCCTGATATTATCAATCTTATAAGTAAAGAAGTTCATAAAGTCATCACTGCTGTGTTGCTTGGACACTTCTAGGGTTGAAGCTTTCTTTTTCGTTAGTTTAGCTACTGTTTCAAATAAATACCTAGGATTATGTTTATTTTCTTCTAATAGGGTTGAAAAATAAGCAGATCTAGCAGCTTTTAAAGCCTCTCTGTAAGCAATCGAGCTCTCTTTCCATGAAATGCGAAATACCTCTAGTTTAGTTTTCTTCCAGTTGTGCTCCATTTTTCTGGCTGCTCTCTTAAGGGCCTGGGTGTGCTCGTTGTACCACGGTGTTGGACTATTTTCTTTAATCTTCTTTAAGCGCAATGGAGCAACTGCGTCTAAAGTGCTGGAAAAGAGAGAGTTAAAAGTTTCTGTTGCAATATCGAGTTCTTCTAAGCTATCTGGGATGCTGAGATGATGAAACTGATTTGGAAGATTATTGATAAAGCAATCTTTAGCGGCAGAAGTGATAGGTCTAACGTATTTTTAACACGGAGTCGGCTTTGCAGCCTTGGCTAAATGTAATTTACATGAGACTAGATAATGATCTGAGATGTCATCGCTCTCCTGCAGAATTTCAACGGCATCAATATCTATTCCATGTGATAATATTAGATCTAGAGTATGATTACGACAATGAGTAGGTCCCGACACGTGTTGTCTAACTCCAATTGAGTTTACAATATCTTTAAATGCCAATCCCAATGCATCTTTTTCATTATCTACATGTATATTAAAATCACCAACAATTAGTACTTTATCTGCAGCCAATACTAATTCTGATAGAAAGTCCGCAAATTCTTTGATAAAATCTTTATGGTGCCCTGGTGGCCTGTACACAGTAGCCAGCAGAATTCTCAAATGTGATTTATCGTTTACACTATATATTTTTACATTAAGAACCAACACTTCAAAAGAAGTATATTTAAAACTAGATTTCTTAGTGGTTTTGAAAATATTACTATAAATTACAGCAACACCTCCCCCTTTGGCTTTCAGACGAGGTTCATGTTTATAACTGTAATCTTGTGGGGTTGACTCATTTAAAGTAATATAATCATTTGGTTTTAACCAGGTTTCTGTCAAACAGCACATCTAGTTTATAATCTGAAATGTGAGTGATTTTGGAGTAAGGGATCGAATATTCAGCAACCCAAGCTTTATCATTTGCTCATCTGTATTATATCTGTTTTTTATTTGTTGAACATCAATTACATTTTTAACCTGACGTTTTTTGGATTTCCAAATTCGGGGAACAGACACAGTCTCTATATGATGATATCTAGGTGAAAGGGCTCTATGTGATGGGATTTATCTGACCTTGGAGACGTGAGGCCGCTAGCAGACGGTCGGTTTAGCCAGGCTGTCTGCTTCCTGACCTGAGCCCCAGATTGTCATGTTTTAGCTCTAAGACTATGAGCCAAATTAATAGAGAGAAGAGCAGCACCAGCCCAGGAGGGATGGATACCATCTCTTTTCAACAGATCAGGCTTGCCCCAAAAACTTTTCCAATTGTCTATGAATTCTACATAATTTTGCGGACACCACTCAGACAGCCAACGATTCAGTGAAGCCAATCTACTTACTATCTCATCACTCCTGCGAACAGGAAGGGGGCCAGAGCAAATTACAGTGCCTGACATCATACTTGCGAGTTCACACACCTCTTTAATATTAACTTTGGTGATCTCCGACTGGCGGAGTCGAACATCATTAGTGCCGACATGAATAATGATCTTAGAGAATTTACGATTAGCATTAGCCAGCACTTTTAAATTTGCTTTGATGTCAGGCGCTCTGGCTCCCGGCAAACATGTGACTATGGTGGCTGGTGTCTCTATTTTCACGTTCCGTGTGATCGAATCACCAATTACCAGGGCACAATCAACAGAATTCTCAGTGGGTGTTTCACTGAGTGGGGCAAATCGATTTGTTATGGGAATCGGAACGGAAGAGTGGTTCTTTGATCCGCGATCCGCGACTAGAACGATCTCTGACAGTCACCCATCTGCCCTGCTGCACGAGCTCTACTTCAGCCGGAACCGAATCATGTAAAGAGTTCACTATGCTAGGCGCATCCAAAACACTATCTAAAGATCTAGCATTCTTACCATCCTCAATTAAAGTTTGGATGCGTGTCTCTAGTTCTGAAATCTTCTCCGTCAGCCTGACTGTCTCCTTGCATTTATCACATATAAATGCCAGGAGACAGACACATATAAACACAGTGGAAATTAATTCCATGTTTTCTTATAATATTACCAAGTGGCAGCATATATATTGAGAATACCAGAGGGCCTAGCACAGATCCTTGCGGCACTCCATAGTCTACTGACGTTATCTTCGATTTTTCCCCATTTAAACAGACAAAATGGTAACGGTCTGATAAGTACGATCTAAACCAGCTTAATGCCTGTCCCTGAACACCAGTGTAGTTTTGTCGTCGATCCAAGAGTGTTTTATGATCGATAGTGTCGAACGCAGCACTAAGATCGAGTAGAACTAGTATTGAGATACAGCCTTGGTCAGAAGCTAAAAGTAAATCATTTGTAATTTTAACTAGCGCAGTTTCTGTGCTATGATGAGGTCTGAATCCTGACTGAAATTTTTCATATATCTCATTTTCTTGCAAGAAAGAGCACAATTGAGCGGACACAGTTTTTTCTAGTATTTTAGACATAAATGGAAGATTTAAAATGGGTCTGTAATTTGCTAGGTTATTTGGATCTAATTGCGGTTTCTTAATAAGAGGTTTTATTACTGCCAGCTTGAATATTTTTGGAACATGACCTAAAAATAAAGACGAGTTAATAATATTGAGAAGAGGCTCTTCCACTACAGGTAACACTTCTTTCAGTAGTTTAGTGGGTATTGGATCTAATAAACATGTTGTTGGTTTAGATGCAATGATAAGTTTATTTAGCTCTTCCTGTCCTATAGTTGTAAAGCGGTGTAGTTGTTCTTGAGGGGCGATAATTGAGGCTGAATCATAAGACACCATAGAGGATTGTACATTTACAATTGTGTTTCGGATGCTTTCTATTTTCTCATTGAAGTAATTCATAAAATCATTACAACTATACTGTAACGGAATATTTTGCTCTGGTGATGTCTGTTTATTTGTTAGTCTAGCCACGGTGTTAAATAAAAACCTTGGATTATTTTGGTGATTTTCTATTAGTTTGCGGAGATGCTCAGCCCTGGCTGCTTTTAGAGCCTTTTTATAACGTGACATACTGTCTTTCCACGCGATTCTAAAGACCTCTAAATTAGTTTGTTTCCATTTACGCTCCAAGTTACGAGTTTCTCTCTTGATAACATGTGTAGTACTGTTGTACCATGGTGAAAAGTTAACCTGATCACAGAAGCTACCAGAGTGTATCGATCACAAAAATAAAGGGTTTACCTTTTAATGAGAGCACATACTGAAGCGTAAAACTAAATCTGTTCAAGAATGTTCACACCTTGCCCTCAGACCTAAATAAGATACAGTGAAAGTAAAATCTTTTTAAAAAGACAGACGTTTTAATCAATCACAGAAATTGAGCCAATATGACAACTGACATGCTGCCAAAGCAAAACTTTTTGAATCATACATCATCAAACATGTACTGGATTAGCAAACATTTAGAGCGTTTCCAATGTCTAAAACACAAGTTCCTTTGAAATAAGTACATTTATTTTATGTTCTTACTGCTATCCCCTATTATTTTGATAATGTATCAAAACATTCAGACAGAAAAAGGATTACAATTTATCATCATTCTAAACCAGCCAAGATAGAAAATCTGTACAACCTTTGGCTACTTCCGATGGTCTTCTAACAAGCTAAAGAGTTTAAGATGTAGGGAACTCAAGTGCTATTCGTGAACATTAGGACAAAATCAAAACAGTCTTCCACAGTCACTCTGACTATTTAAATGTTTTCTTTCATCCTGAGAGTTAGTGGTGGTGCACTGGAGCGCAGCAGGCCTGCCGGGCATCAGAACACCTCCAGGTCACAGGTGTTGTAGACCACATGGCTGTCCTCTGTGCCCAGCGCCGGCTCCTCCAGGGACCCCAGCGCCTCTTCAGTGTCACTCGCGAAGGTTTCCCGCGAGACGTCGTCCTCTTCCTGCAGATTGAGCGTGTTGATGGCTTGCTTCATCTTCTTTGCTACAATTTGCTTCCGTCGCTTCTTAGCAGCCTTTTTGCTGTTGTTCTCTTTCTGGTTCTCCTCATAAAAGATCTCCTGTGTGAAGGGAACGTGCAAACAAAGCATTTCTGAGATTTGCATGTAAAGAGAGAATTAAATGTGTACATAAATGCTAGTGTGAGATTCAGACAGCAGGCCTTGAGGTCGACACACACGACAGCGGTTTCCAGCGGCCTCAGCCCGGAAGTTACGCCAGCTGCCGAGCGCCTGACTAAACACAGGACACAGATCTTCCATACTGGTTTTCATGTTTCCATATTTTTGCCATCGGGGCAGGAACCCTGGCTGTAGCATCTCAGCAGCGTGAAGCGCACATGAACTGAGAGGAAAAATGTAATGGCGGTCTGTTTTGTAAGTGGGATTTTTCCATACAATAAAATAAAAACCATGAACAGTAAACATTTCCTTTGTAATCTCTTTTACTTTAAATTAAAAAACTATCATTTATTAGTTTTTGATAGAAACGTTGAAAACAGCTGCTGTCTTCTACGCACTGCTCTGCACTGCAGCCGGTAACGTGACAGATGTGCTTTCGCGCGTTGGCTGGCGCTGAGCCAGTGCTGTCATTTATCACAACCATTGAGTGTTTTCAACCACATGTTTATTTTAGGTTTCAGACATTTAAATACACATAAGTACTAGCAAAACAATGATTTTGATTTTGCTGATTTCTATGGAAGCGGCAATATTAATCCTTTTCATTATAATAAGACAACACGTTTTATTCATATCAGATACACATTGGGTACGTAGCTTCACATTTTACCCTATTCTTCTCCCAGTTCACCGGCCTCTTACTTACATGTATTTCGTGAGAAGTGGAGGAATTGACGTCACGTGTTGTAAATCCAACAGATCCGATTCTCTGAACTGTGGCACAAACTAACGATCGTTATGAAGGAAGATCGTTTGAACAATAAAACATGTCCACTTGCACATATTTGACAATCGGAATGTCAGTGTTTAATGCTATAGCTAATACATTTGTGAATATTTTTGATAAAAAAGGAAAAATGACATAAAAGCAGATCATCATTCATTCAGCGCTGTGTTGTGGTTGCGCTGTGTCACGTGACAAGGAATGATGCGTCACCATGGAAACATTAAAGTGACAAGTTCTAAAAACCGTAACGGTCGCCTTGAAAAACTCACGCTGGGGGGTCAGTTAGAATATTTTAAACTTACGTGTGAAAGGGTTAAAAGTGGAAGCTTGTGCGTAGCTTTGTTGCAATATATTGAAACTTTGTTGATGTTGTTATTGTCATGCGTGTTCTGGTTATTAGCGCATGATTAAACATGAGTCTCTATAGGGCGATAAAACAAAGCTTTGTTGCATTTTTTTTTTTTTTAAGTGGGGATTGGGGGTGCGCCAACCCGGTTGGGACATAGAAGGGGGTGCGCAGGAAAAAAAGTTTGGTAACCGCTGAGTTATAGAATGCAAAAACTGGAAATTGTAACGCATGAGCACGCAAAAAAATGCTTCTTGTGTGCACGTGAATGTCTGTTTTGTTTTTTGCAAAGGTCGCTTTAGGGGCTCTGTAGTTTGCTACCAAGGGTTGGCTTTCCTACATCTTGAAACTTTTAGTTTTACAAATGAGGAAAATCTTTGAAGGATGAACACAATGTTTTTGGTCATCACATTAAATATTATCCAAATGTTGACCAATGTGATAGAGCTTTGAAGTGCTGGAAAAGTGTAAAGCATTTGAAAGTCGTTGAAAAGTGCTTGAATGTAACTCTTAAAAGGTTATACGAACCCTGAACTGAATAATGTAAAAAAACAACTCACTATTTCAGCCACAATACCATGGTTACAGTGAGCGTTACTACATTAAATCCATGGTGTATGTTGGTGAATTGCGGATTGAATAGCCTTCTATAACTTGTGTGTTCGTGGCACAATGTCAGCGTGGTTTATTCCAGGACTTATTCCTGCTCCGCTCACATGCGCTGACAGCACTAACCCTCAAGCTCTCGCTGACTGAGGTGCGGAGACTGCAGGCCTGTGCAGCTGAGGGCTCTGCGGACGGAGGCGGGGTTTGGAGGACAAGCGATTGTGGACAGTCACTGTTGGAATTATTTGAGTTTTATATTTGAGAGTTGATGAACACACAGCTACTTTATATTGGTCCTCCCAAACACTTGAGTGATGACTGACCTTCACCTGCCCGTCAGAGATGCTGGGTGTGTTCTTCAGCAAGTTCAGATATACTCCACCAGGTGTCCGTCTCCTACTGCCATCCTGCAGGAAACAACAAAACACTGAGTAATATTAATCCAATATCGTTTTGATTAAATTCAACAGGATCAACATGTTTGAAAATATAGTGGCAAGAAAAAGAGCGCAAACCCCTTGAAATTAACTGGTTTTCTGCAGTAATTTGCCATAAAATGTGATCAGATCCACAACAATAGACAAACACAATCTGCTTAAGCTGGTAACACAAACAATTATAAAAAAAATTTTTTACTTGGTCTTTATTGAACACACCCATTAAGCATTCACAGTGCTGGAGGAATAAGTGAGTGGACCCTTGACAGCTGGTCGAGCCTCCTCTGGCAGCAGTGACGTCAGCCGGCTCTGGATCAGACCTCGGGTCAGGAGCAAGTCTTGACCATTCCTCCTCTGGGAACTGCTTCAGCTCAGACAGGTCTGTAGGACGTCTGGAGTGAACATCTCGAGGCCACAGCATCTCTATGGGTTAAGGTCTGGGCTCCAAAGGAGCAGTTTCTTCTTCTGAAGCCAGTCTGTGGGGGATTAACGTCGATGTTTAGGGCCGATGTTTACGGCCACTTCTACTAAGCTTCAGCTGGCCGACAGCCACACTGAAATTATCCTCTTAGCATATTTTGGTAAACTTGGGAATTCATTTCTCCGTCGATGATGGCAAGTGGTCCATGGTTCCTCCACCATACTTCACCGTTGGTATGAGGTTTTGATGCTGCCAAGCTGTGCCATTCTGAGTGCTGAGTTTTCTTCCTAAACGATTCAACTTTTGTTTTATCAGTCCATAAAACATTTTCCCAGTAGCATTGTGGTGCTCTTTGGCAAGCTCCAGGCGGCTCCTCCGTGGTGTTCTGCCATGGACACCTGCGTCTGGTGGACTCATGAACATGGGTGTTTGCCAGACCCAGTGACGTCTCCAAGCCTTGAGCCTTTACTCGTGGCCTCTTTAACTCATTGAGGATTCTGCGTTGTGCCTTAGGAGTCATCGACTGGGCGCCCACTTCTAGGAAGAGTAGCCACAGTACTAAACACTCTCCATTTATTAACTATTTGTTGCTTTGTATCCCTTTCCAGCCTAATGGAGATCCACTACTCTTGATCGCATGTCTTCAGAGAGATCATTTTTGTGAGGCATGGTTCACATCAGTTGATGCTTCTTTCTTACCAACGAATATTGAGATGTTTAAGTGTCTTATTAAAAATAAGTTATTAAATTAAGTGTTGCCGATTAAAAAAAAATATATTTAATGTTATCGTGTTATATTTCATCTGCGATAATGTGGACTTTTATAAAGATCCGTTTGGCCATTAACTTTTAAATGCATCATTATGCCTGAATATGAGGAGTCTCTGCAGGACTGCAGCTCAACGTGCTTCTGCGTTTCTCTCCGATATGGCAGGAGATTAAATGAAATGGAGGATTTTAACGGTGACAAGATGATTGACAGGCCAGTGACAGAGAGCAACCGTTAAAGACGTAATTGTATGACGAATTGAGATGCAGCAATACTTCTCCCTCCAGCAATGTGAATGTTTAATGGGTGTTCAATAGAGACACGAGGAATTAGGATTGTGTGCGTGTTATCAGCTTCAGCACAGTGGGCCTCGTTTATCAATCTAACGTAGAAACGGGGGCAGAAATCCTCTAACGACACAGTTCACGGTGATTCATGAAACATTCGTATGCTTCCAATCCTATCATACGAATGATCAGACGTTGGAAAATGTGGCGTCTGAAAACAATCATTTGAATATCACGCCCCCAAACATTCGGTTTAGATCCTCGTCCCCAGAGATTACGACACGGAGAGACGAAACCCGGCCAAAAACAGGAAGTAATCTCATGGAAGAGAAAATTATTTTACTTTGAAAATCACCTGTAATTGCAAGCAACTATATTAATGTATATTAAATACCGGTATATAAAATGAAACATTTACAAACATTATAAATAGGGATGCACCGATACCACTTTTTGCAGAATGAATCCGATACTTTCAGTGTTGGTGCATGCCGATACCGAGTACAGACACCCATGTTTTCACTGCATTTGTCATTTTTAAATGTATTTTGGATAGAGAAACAAAAAGAATATGAATCATATTAGTTGGCTTAATTTGTTCAGCAAATATATATTTCCCTCAGTTATTTTCATGCTTAATTAAGCCTGTTAAAATGTATTTTACGAGTTTGTTACTTTTACTGTTGGTTCTATTGCTCTGATATATTATCTTCAGTTCATCAGCACATGTTTAGCGGCGCTCCAGCAGAGCTCAGCGCTGACGACTGGGTCCGGGCGCAGACAGAGTCAGAGACTAGCCAAATCAGCAGTTCTTTATTACAATTTATATACTACAGCAAACCTACTAGCTAGGCATGTAACGATTCACTCATCTACTTGAGTGAAGTGGAAAATTATAATTCACCAGTAAAATTAATCAAAAGTGCAAAACGTGATTATTATCTGTCCACGATGAATGAAAATTTAAATAATCCTACAAAGTTTTGGAAAGTAGTCAAGTCTACTACAGTCCCAAATCAGTCATCTAAATTCCCAGATAATCTAAATGTTAATCAGACTTTAGTTAAGGGCAGAAAAGTTATTGCAGATACTTTTAATAAATATTTTATTTCCGTTGGCTCCACTTCCGAGGCTATTCATTCGGGTGCTAATACCTTAATTGCTGAACCTACTCAGTATTGTCCGTCAGAATCCTTTAATTTCGTTCCCATAACCACTGCACAGGTTGATAACGCCCTAACGAAACTAGATACAAAAAAAAGGGCTGGAATTGATCAAATTGAGCCCTATTTTCTCAAATTGGCAGCTGATCTTGTAGCAGAGCCTATAGCCTCTATATTTAACTTAAGCATCATCTCAAATGTCATACCAAAAATGTGGAAATCAGCAATGGTTACTCCATTACTAAAGGGCGGAGATCCCTCGGATCCAAATAATTACCGTCCTATTTCTAGATTGCCAGTTATAGCGAAAGTTTGTGAATCACTGATAAATGACCAATTAAAACACTTTCTGTCGGTTAATAACATCCTTCACGATTATCAGTCAGGCTTTAGAACAGGACATTCTACCATTACAGCAGCTATGTTAATCTCAAATGTTATTATAACCTCTTTAGACAAAAAAAAGTCATGTGCTGCGCTATTCGTTGATCTATCAAAGGCTTTCGATTCTGTAGATCACAAATTACTGTTACAGAGACTCAAGTTTATAGGCCTTAGTGAAGCGGCTCCAAATTGGTTTGAAAACTACCTCACAGAACGCACTCAGCTGTCAGTCAGTGGAAAATTATAATTCACCTTTCCTTCAAGTAAATATCGGGGTTCCTCAAGGTTCTGTTTTAGCCCCTCTTTTATTTTCTATTTTTATCAATGATTTAGATCATGGAATAGATTCAGCTAAATTACACTTATATGCAGACGATACAATTATTTACACAACAGCATCTTCTTTAAATCAAGCTTTGCAGCAATTGCAGAATGCTTTTCAAGTACTGGAGCGCTCATTGTCGCAGTTAAAATTAGTCTTAAACTCAAAAAAGACAAAATACATAATTTTTAGTCGAGGTCGTTCTAAGGAAACTGAAATGTCAATTAAAACTTTAAATGGTACACTTTTAGAAAGAGTTAGTTCCTACAAGTACCAAGGCGTATGGTTGGACGAAAGATTATCATTTGACATACATATTGATAGGTTGTTGAAGAAGCTTAGGCCAAGATTAGGTTTCTTCTATCGCTTAAATAATTGTTTTCCATATGAGGCCCGAAATAAAATAGTAGAGAGTGCATTCTTATCGGTTATTGATTATGGTGATCTTTTATACATGCACGCAGCTACTTCACTACTTAGGAAATTAGACACTGTGTATCATGCTGCTTTACGCTTTGTTGCTGGTGCAGAGTCACGGACGCATCACTGTATTTTGTATGATACTTTAGCTTGGTCATCTTTGCATCAAAGGAGAAAGCTACATATGTATTTATTTATTGTAAAAGCTCTTTTAGGTAAATAACCTTCTTATATATCAAGTCTTTTAATTTATTATACAAATAGTTACCACACCAGGTCTGGCTCTTATATTCGGCTAAAAGTCCCAAGGGTATTGTCAGAATCTGGTAAAGGTGCTTTTTCTTTTTATGCTCCTTGGGCTTGGAATGAGTTGCAAAATGTACTTAAGTTAGATCCACTTCCAACTCTGACCACTTTTAAACGTCTCTTGCATACTGCTTTGAAGGAGACTTGTAATTGTCTTTCTTGATTCAATTTTATCTGCTTTGTTCAGAAACATGTTAAATGTGGAATTGTTATACTGTGATTCTGTGTGAAACTTAATGTGCTGCCGTCTTGACCAGGTCTCTCTGGAAGAAGAGATAGTGATATCTCAATGTGATTCTCCTGGATTAATAAAGGAAATAATCTCACGATGCGATACGATTCACGATACTCGTTTCACGATACTATTTTCTCACCATTTTTTTAACAAATGAGATTTAAGACAAAAGTGTCCCTTTTATTATTTCTCAGACAAAATGCTGCACATTTCTTTTTAATTTAAAATATATTTGTCAAAAATTAAAACTACATTAAAAAAATTCCCTTCAAGGTTGTTTCAACTCAGTCTTTCTGTCTGTTTGGTCAAGAGGCTGGACACTGGTACCTTCACACACTATGTAAAATTAGTACCAGATTGACAGGGATTTTACATTGTAATAAATGCAAGAATCTAATTTTGTTATAATTTGTATCATTGATATTTTGTATCATTTCTGTTATAATTTGAATCAAGACTTAAAAAAAACACATTTAGAGAAAGAGTAAAATAAATACAACACCTGGTTGCCACGGAAACACTGATGCACCTTGTGATCTCCGTGGCTCTCGCAATTGACCGTTCGCAAAAGCCACGCCCCCTAGTTATTGTTACTACGCCCGTCAAACAAATGGTCAAACACGACCAGCGCGACAGATTGCCATGACGGGAAGAGGTATACCCGTGCGTGTCACTGACCTTTTTTGGAGCAATACCTCAGCGATATCCTCCAGGTTGAGGCACAAGGGGTTACAGTATGCAGTGGAGGGATATATTCAAAATATAAAAATACGCAATGAAGGAGACACGACTACTAGAGGCTAATGCTTACCGGTCTCAAGCGAAATCTGAGAAACCCCATGACCTTTACCTCAAATACAACCAGCACAGCCTTGAAGATGATTTTATAAGCTGGTTCAGTGGCTAATGTTTGGAGTTAGAAATATATAACTCGTCTCGCACTGCATATTTAGTAATTTTGCCTCAGATACATTCGCTTTAACAAGCAGGTTGTTCATTACCATGGCAACCGCTTGCGTGTCATACTGCATGCGATTTTTGTGTTTAAAAAGTAACTATACATTAGAGACGGAAAGATGCAGATAACCATACATTATTTAAGGTTATTTCTAATCGTTACGATATTGATATATGAACTGATGTTGTCAAGTAAGCTTCATGCTTTCCCCGTTGCGAGCGTGCACTCCTCTAAACTGTAGTCTATGGTGCTGCACTGCTAGTGACTGCTGCTCATTTCCCCCCCGAGAATATCATGTTAATAACAACAACCCTTTAGAAAACGTAATTCCTTTGTGGATCCTCTTGATCTGCTTTCTCCATGTTTCTTTGACTAATCTCAGTGTCTCAGTCTCACGCACGCTGCACGCGAGTTAACCATGTTCGACACATGTAACTGGGAGTGGGGCCGTCCACACTGTTTGATCCATTGTAGGCACCGCTCACGTTGTGTTTTCGGCTTTGGAAACGGAAAGAACAACTCCTCCAGACAATCTCTCGGGGTACCTAGTGTCCGATTTACAAACGCCGTGGGCGCACCGCTTCACCATCTTGCTTGGAGTCAATGTTTGACGGACCTGCTCACATAGTAACGGTTGCTATGATGTGTGATTGGACAATGGCCGTTTTGTGGGAGGGGCCTGCGAACGGTCAATTGTCATATTAATGACTTTTACATGAAAACGGAGGTGACTGGTGCTTCTCAAGGTGGTGATTATTATTAGTCTACAGAAAGTCAAAATGCCGTCACACCTCCGATTTGAATGAGTCAACATCTTGAATGAGTCAACATCAAAAGGCACACACTGGCGCGGCGCGAGCGGAGCAAACCGAGCGTTTTCAGTTCATTCCTATGGAAGTTGAGCTTGGCTCACACAAGATCAAGTTCCATGAATGAAGTGAAAACACTCGCTAGCTTCACGTCAGTGTGTGCTCGCTGCTATTGTGCCTGTAAAGCGAGGTTCACAACTTCACAGTAGGCTATACAGTAAACGCGCCCTGCTGTTTAAAACGTGTATCGCGATTCGTTTAACATTTCAACCGACTTGAATCGTCACACATTTTTATCGATTTTCAACCGGTTGCGAGTGAATCGTTACATCCCTACTACTAGCCTAATTAATGTGAATTTAAAACATTAAGGACAAGTAGACAGTCAGTAATACAATTAGAACAAATTAACAAATTGGAAACGACAGCACAAATACAATAGAATAAAGAGACTAATGAAATAAACATGGATTTAAGGTGTGTTTTAAGTCTAACAGTATTTAGGCAAGAAATACTACAGAAATGAAAGTAATCAAATATGAAATAATGCTGGATAATCTTCACTGTAAAAAACTTAAATCCAGATTAGTGCTTACAATTAAAGTTACAAAAGTTACTCAGGCAAGAGCAGCGAGTGGTTTTCTCTTTCGTTCTTTGATTCACATGATAGACTGAAACACTTTCCGAGCTTATGCACAGATCATCCAATACACTAGACATGTTTCCATCACCCTGTTTTTATGCAGCACATTTTGATGCATTGCATCAGAAACGAGTGATGGAAACACCAAATTTCAGGGGGAAAAAATCCCTTATCGCAAAAAAGTTTACATGCTCACTTGAGGTGGCTTCTGACTTGTAAAAAAAAAAAAAAAAGAATTCATGCAAATAATGGGAGACGGAAACGCATTTGTCGAATAAATTGACGTAGCGAACATTGAACCCACGTGACTAATTTGCTGTTTCCGCTGAGAGTTTTATTTACGGTTGGTTCTAGTTTACCAATACCACCGGCACACGCTCGAACAACTTGATGGAAATGCACCAAATTCGCTTTTGTTTGTGCAACTAGAGCTGCACAATTCTGGATAAATTTGTTTAAAATAGAGATGCCAATTCTCACATGATTCTGAATAGACAACTAAACTATTTACTAGCAGTTCTGACAAAATATTTAATTAAATTATTATTTTAAAAATAGGTTTAAATGAATGATTCAATGACTAACTCCAAGACATTACTTGCTTCATTCCTGGAGGAATCAGCGTTTTTGATCGATTCTCTTGAACGAATAATGTAAGTCCCTTGTCCCCACCTACTGGTGTAAGAACATAAATGATACGGTCTCTACTTGAGTTACTCTATTCTGATGGTACCGTAGTCACCAGTGTTTATATGAGTTGTGAATTATTACACAGAAATAAAGATGTGATAGAAGAGGTTGTTTGTGGAGTGGTTTCATACCTAAGCTGTACATGATAACTGCTCTCTCTGGATCAGTGCAAACACAGCTGTGATCGCAGCTACTCCTCAAAGGTTAGGAGACATAGCAGAATCGTTGTCATTTAGGAATAAGATTGTGTGTGTTTGAAACGAGATCGATTAATCGTGCAGCTCTATTGACAACTTTTTCTAAAAAAAAAAAATAGCTGACAAAATGAACAGTAGTTTCAAACTGCAATCTGATGCACTGAACTGGATGAAATGTGCGTGACAGTTTTGTGCATACCACAGTGTAGAGACCTCCAGTTTGCTCAATTGTTGCCGTCTCCGACAGAAGCTCGATGGCTTTCTTTTTCCCGATAACTCTCACCACACGCTCCATTAGATCCTTCTTTGGCTCCATGAGTCTTTAACAGAGAGCAGACAAAAGCATGGTCACTTAAAAGGTTTACAGTAAAGGCATATGAAGATAATGGCCATTTTTCATCCAACCTTCTTAAAATATTGTAAAAATTATAGAAACCATTTATGAAATAAATTCTAATTTAGATTTATGTAAAGGTTTATACACATGCACAGTTCATTTGTTGAACATAAATATTGATTTTTTTTTAGGTATCACCTGATTCACAAAATGTGAAACTGAATGTACACAAATGCCTGTTTTAGGGCTGGGCATTGACACAAATCTCACGATTCAATCTCGATTCGCAAGCTTGTGATTCGATTCATTATCACTCGATATTGATTAATTGGAGTATGTGTCAGGAACAGTACATGGAAAATTCTCTCAAGAAAACTAACGAACGCCTGTTTTCAAACGCTCCCATGTGTATTTCAGTAACGACTTGGTACTGAAGTCGGCACCTATGACATCACTGCATCTGACTACATGTTTTCTGACCTGTGTGCGATCTCATCAATCACTTTCTCGTCAGGGTCGTCCTCCGTGATCTCGTATCGCCCCTTGATGTCCATCTCAGCCCGTGTGCCCAGCCTCTCCTTGGCCGAACGCTTCCTCTTCAGACACTCCTCTCTCGGTGCGCCTCCTCTCTGCATGTACCCCTCCAGCTCCTCGTCCAGCATGCTCTTCAAGCCCTCCTCCTCCTCTCCACGCTCCTTCTCCATCATCTTACGGGCCAGGACGTAGTTATAGGTCTCGCTCTGGCGACTGCTCATGCTGACGCCCGCCTCCATGCCCAGGATGCCCAGCTCCGCTGCGACCGCCTCCTGGCTCTGCTCCTGCACCACCGAGCCCCAGATGTTGTTGACCCTGCGAGCGGCGCCGGCCTGGACCGGGACCGGGACCGGGACTGGGAGACTCGAACACTTGAGCCGCTTCTGCCTCCAGCGCACGGCCTCGTCCTCAGAGTCGGAGTCGGACTCGCTGGAGCCGGGGTTCTTGCAGTTGCGGTATCCCGTGACGGAGGCGGTGCTCGAAGATGGACCTCTGCTCTGAAAAGATGAGACCTGCAAATATAGTCAACATCAAAAGAGCATGAAGAACTGATTGAGTGGTGTCGGTGGATGGTGTCAGTGGGATGGTGTCGGTGGATAGTGTCGGTGGATAGTGTCGGTGGATAGTGTCGGTGGATAGTGTCGGTGGATAGTGTCGGTGGATAGTGTCAGTGGGATGGTGTCAGAGGGATGGTGTCAGAGGGATGGTGTCAGAGGGGTGGTGTCAGAGGGGTGGTGTCAGAGGGATGGTGTCGGTGGATGGTGTCAGTGGGATGGTGTCGGTGGATAGTGTCGGTGGATAGTGTCGGTGGATAGTGTCGGTGGATAGTGTCAGTGGGATGGTGTCAGAGGGATGGTGTCAGAGGGGTGGTGTCAGAGGGGTGGTGTCAGAGGGGTGGTGTCAGAGGGATGGTGTCAGTGGGTGGTGTCAGAGGGATGGTGTCAGAGGGATGGTGTCAGAGGGATGGTGTCAGAGGGATGGTGTCGTGGGTGGTGTCAGAGGGATAGTGTCAGTGGGATGGTGTCAGTGGGATGGTGTCAGAGGGGTGGTGTCAGTGGGATGGTGTCAGAGGGGTGGTGTCAGAGGGATGGTGTCAGAGGGGTGGTGTCAGAGGGGTGGTGTCAGAGGGGTGGTGTCAGTGGGATGGTGTCAGAGGGATGGTGTCAGAGGGATGGTGTCAGAGGGATGGTGTCGTGGGTGGTGTCAGTGGGATGGTGTCAGATGGGTGGTGTCAGAGGGATGGTGTCAGAGGAATGGTGTCAGAGGAATGGTGTCAGAGGAATGGTGTCAGTGGGTGGTGTCAGAGGAATGGTGTCAGTGGGTGGTGTCAGCGGGTGGTGTCAGAGGGATGGCGTCAGTGGATGGCGTCAGTGGGTGGTGTCAGTGGGTGGTGTCAGTGGGTGGTGTCAGAGGGATGTGTCAGTGGGTGGTGTCAAAGGAATGGTGTCAGTGGGTGGTGTCAGTGGGATGGTGTCAGCGGGTGGTGTCAGAGGGATGGTGTCAGTGGATGGCGTCAGAGGAATGGCGTCAGTGGAATGGCGTCAGTGGGTGGTGTCAGTGGGTGGTGTCAGAGGGATGGTGTCAGTGGGTGGTGTCAGTGGGTGGTGTCAGTGGGTGGTGTCAGAGGGATGGTGTCAGTGGGTGGTGTCAGAGGAATGGTGTCAGTGGGTGGTGTCAGTGGGTGGTGTCAGAGGGATGGTGTCAGAGGGATGGTGTCAGTGGATGGCGTCAGTGGGATGGTGTCAGAGGGGTGGTGTCAGTGGGTGGTGTCAGTGGGTGGTGTCAGAGGGATGTGTCAGTGGGTGGTGTCAAAGGAATGGTGTCAGTGGGTGGTGTCAGCGGGTGGTGTCAGCGGGTGGTGTCAGCGGGTGGTGTCAGCGGGTGGTGTCAGTGGGTGGTGTCAGAGGAATGGTGTCAGTGGGATGGTGTCAGAGGAATGGTGTCAGTGGGTGGTGTCAGCGGGTGGTGTCAGCGGGTGGTGTCAGCGGGTGGTGTCAGAGGGATGGTGTCAGTGGATGGCGTCAGAGGGATGGTGCCAAAGGGATGGTGTCAGTGGGTGGTGTCAGTGGGTGGTGTCAGTGGGTGGTGTCAGTGGTTGTGTCAAAGGAATGGTGTCAGTGGGTGGTGTCAGTGGGATGGTGTCAGCGGGTGGTGTCAGAGGGATGGTGTCAGTGGATGGCGTCAGAGGGATGGCGTCAGAGGAATGGCGTCAGTGGAATGGCGTCAGTGGGATGGCGTCAGTGGGATGTGTCAGTGGATGGTGTCAGTGGGTGGTGTCAGAGGGATAGTGTCAGTGGGTGGTGTCAGTGGGATGGTGTCAGCGGGTGGTGTCAGAGGGATGGTGTCAGTGGATGGCGTCAGAGGGATGGCGTCAGAGGGATGGCGTCAGAGGGATGGCGTCAGTGGGATGGCGTCAGAGGGATGGTGTCAGAGGGATGGTGTCAGTGGGTGGTGTCAGAGGGATGGTGTCAGTGGGTGGTGTCAGAGGAATGGTGTCAGTGGGTGGTGTCAGTGGGTGGTGTCAGAGGGATGGCGTCAGAGGAATGGCGTCAGTGGGATGGTGTCAGAGGGATGGTGTCAGTGGGTGGTGTCAGAGGGGTGTGTCAGTGGGTGGTGTCAGTGGGTGGTGTCAGTGGGATGGTGTCAGCGGGTGGTGTCAGAGGGATGGTGTCAGTGGATGGCGTCAGAGGGATGGCGTCAGTGGAATGGCGTCAGTGGGATGGCGTCAGAGGGATGTCGTCAGAGGGATGTCGTCAGAGGGATGGTGTCAGTGGGTGGTGTCAGAGGGATGGTGTCAGTGGGTGGCGTCAGAGGGATGGCGTCAGAGGAATGGCGTCAGTGGAATGGCGTCAGTGAGTGGTGTCAGTGGGATGATGTCAGTGGATGGTGTCGGAGGGATGGCGTCGGAGGGATGGCGTCAGAGGGATGGCGTCAGTGGGTGGTGTCAGAGGAATGGTGTCAGTGGGTGGTGTCAGTGGGATGGTGTCAGCGGGTGGTGTCAGAGGGATGTGTCAGTGGGTGGTGTCAGAGGAATGGTGTCAGTGGGTGGTGTCAGTGGGATGGTGTCAGCGGGATGGTGTCAGCGGGATGGTGTCAGAGGGATGGTGTCAGAGGGATGGTGTCAGTGGGTGGTGTCAGAGGGATGGTGTCAGAGGGATGGCGTCAGAGGGATGGCGTCAGACGGATGGCGTCAGACGGATGGCGTCAGTGGATGGCGTCAGAGGGATGGTGTCAGAGGGGTGGTGTCAGAGGGGTGGTGTCAGAGGAATGGTGTCAGAGGGATGGTGTCAGAGGGGTGGTGTCAGAGGGGTGGTGTCAGAGGGGTGGTGTCAGAGGGTTGGTGTCAGTGGGATGGTGTCAGAGGGATGGCGTCAGAGGAATGGCGTCAGAGGGATGTGTCAGAGGGGTGGTGTCAGAGGGGTGGTGTCAGAGGGATGGTGTCAGAGGGATGGTGTCAGTGGGGTGGTGTCAGAGGGGTGGTGTCAGAGGGATGGTGTCAGAGGGATGGTGTCAGAGGGGTGGTGTCAGAGGGGTGGTGTCAGTGGGATGGTGTCAGAGGGGTGGTGTCAGAGGGGTGGTGTCAGTGGGATGGTGTCAGTGGGATGGTGTCAGAGGGATGGTGTCAGAGGGATGGTGTCAGAGGGATGGTGTCAGAGGGATGGTGTCAGAGGGATGGTGTCGTGGGTGGTGTCAGACGGATGGTGTCAGAGGGATGGTGTCAGTGGGTGGTGTCAGAGGGGTGGTGTCAGAGGGATGGTGTCAGAGGGATGGTGTCAGAGGGATGGTGTCAGAGGGATGGTGTCAGTGGGATGGTGTCAGAGGGGTGGTGTCAGTGGGATGGTGTCAGTGGGATGGTGTCAGAGGGGTGGTGTCAGAGGGGTGGTGTCAGTGGGATGGTGTCAGTGGGATGGTGTCAGAGGGATGGTGTCAGAGGGATGGTGTCGTGGGTGGTGTCAGACGGATGGTGTCAGAGGGATGGTGTCAGTGGGATGGTGTCAGAGGGATGGTGTCAGAGGGATGGTGTCAGTGGGATGTGTCAGAGGGGTGGTGTCAGAGGGGTGGTGTCAGAGGGGTGGTGTCAGAGGGGTGGTGTCAGAGGGGTGGTGTCAGAGGGGTGGTGTCAGTGGGATGTGAGCTGACTGCATAATGAGAGGCTGCATGACATCAGCTTATATTGGATTCAGAACCAAAGCAAGTTTGATTATAAAGACTAACATTTTCCTTGACAACATGCACTGAGTAATCGATCACAATAAGACCAGGAACATGCATTACGGACGTGCATTAAGCCATGTTCAACCCTTGAATAAGCAGCAGTTTACATCTGAAAGGCGTTTAGGATTTGATGATATATATAACATTGATATGAGTGATCACCCGGCTGTAGACCTATATTGTATTTATATGAAGCATTCACAGGAAAATTTCCTTTATGTATTTCCCCAGCGTTAAAATCAGGCTCATATAAATGTCTGATTCCTGGCTGCATGTCAATATATCCATGGACCACTGAATCTTTGGTAAGTTGTAAGGAAAACTATATAGAGTCCAGCCTTTAGTTTAACCGATAATCGTTTGTTTTACTCGTGTTTTTGCAGTTTCCACTATTAACTCCAGCCACACTCAGCTCTTCTGCCACTCAGTCCGGCTGAGGGAGTGTGTTCCTGCAGGAAAGTGACGTCAATGCATAACCTCTGCCAAAAGTTTTAGGTGCCATGCTTTTTCAGTATGAATCAATGCAGGAGAAAGTATGAAACAAGATTACCCAGCATTTAAAATGAACAAGGGTTAACATTTTCAAGCGTAAAGGTCCATACAGAAAGCCTCCACACTTGCAGTCTATCACAGGGGTTACCAAACACACATTTTGCCGGTCTCCTCAGTCAAACACACTGATTCAGGGCAGCAGCTCATTAGTAGAGACTCGAGGATCTGAAATGGGTGTCACAGTGTGAGCACCAGGGACGTCTAGCAGACTATGAAGTAAGAATGCTTCAAACGTGAAATATCACGTGCAAAGCTGGAAACGGGTGAGGGGAAAAACAGAACTAACGTTACCTACGACTGGCCTAGACAGGTTCATCTGACTGCACAACAGTGTTAGTGTCTATGATGCATTAGCGAACACTGGAAGCTGGTGTTTAAACGGCTGCAGATTCATCACTGATTCGCACAGAAATCTCAACATACAGTCAATCAGTCGATATGAACACAGCAAGAGCGTGTTGTGCAGATAGAACAGTCTTCACCTGCACTCGCTCCTCTGCAGCATCCCGCATATCAGACTCGTGATCAGACTCCAGCTCTCCATCCTCGAGATCCGCCATTCTGGCTCCGTCACCCGCCATTTCTCTCGGCCGGAAGTGACGAGCCGTATTTAGTGTAAGCGTCATCGACGACGTGAGCTCTCATTGGCGCATTTTCCTGTGGGACGTTCCTCTGGTGATATTTTGGCGATCGGCATTATAGAAGGTGCATTTCCGCCACCTACTGGACCACAGTGTGAAACACACAGCGCTGTGTTTCTACAGTTTGTTTTTTACACTCATTTCTCAATTCTTAGGTACACATACATTTATAAAAACTCTTCACACACTGAGCACGACAGCACTCTATGTGGGCTAAACTGTGGATCATGTATCATTGCTTTGGCACAAAATGACAACATCTTTCAAATTACAGTAATTCTTTTCTCACTTCGACACAGCAACCGCCAAAACTCAATGAACCTACAGGCCAGTTTGCGCATGCTCACATAGCTCACTGTTTTTTCACAACAATAACATAATACAAAACTGAATAAGACTTGCTACATTTCTACAGTAATATTGTAAAGAAATGTATTCTGAATCCAAAAAATCAAATACTATCAAAGCAATTAGATGAAACTGGACAGCATTAATCTTTCAATTTCATTACCATCCATTCAAAAGGGGAAACTTAGGAATAATTTTGTACTGTAATGTAAACAAGGACCATGTCATACTGCAGTGAATTATAAACAGTAGAGAGTGTCATGCTTGCTTTGTAAAGAAATTTTACAAAATAAAACATTCTTTATTACTACCTGATGTTAGTGTTTTTTAGGTCTGTAATATTGTCTCATTAAAAAAAAACGTTGTATGTACAAATCTACAGTGAATGACAGCTGTGTGCGGTCTCCCAGTGGCTTACGGCAGTTTAGTGTTAGTGATTCATTTACAGCAAAACAAAAGATAACATCTTTGATTTCATGTCCGAAAACATTATTTTGGTCTTACATTTCATAATAAACTCAGACGAGCTCGGCACCAACTTGTTTTCCCTCAGTTTATTTTTGTGAATAGGAATGTGTGCAAATTGTGTGCAAAGGATTGTGGATGATTTACGGCAGAGAAGGATGCATACATCCAATGCATCCTTTAAAACAGGCCGGGTAAATAAAGGTCTTCTGAAGCAAACAATGCCTTTGTGTAAGAAAAATGTTCATATTTAACACGTTACAAAGTAAAATTCTAGCCTCCGGCCAAATGGCCATACGCAGTCTCGATCTATACTAACGCCTAAAACGCAACTTGTGACGTCAGAAGTAGCGAAGTGTCAGCAGTGGCATAGCGTAAATATCAGTAGTGCGTCGCATTACTCGCATAAGTTGCGCTTTAGACTTAAGTGGAATCCGTATGTTCGTTTGGCCGGAAGCTAGTTATTTTACTTTATAAAGTTTTAAATATGGGTATGTTTCTCATCGCTTTGCTTCAAAAGGCCTTTATTAACCCCCTGGATTACTTTCCTGATGGACAGATGCACTTTTATGGACTTCAAAACAGAAACAGCCATTCACTGCCATTATAAAGCTTGGAAAAGCCAGGACATTTTGTATTATATCTCTGATTGTATTCGTCTGGAAGAAGTATGTCATATATACACCTAGGACGACTTGAGGGTGAGTAAATCATGGGGTAATTTTAATTTAAAAGTGAACTATCCCTTTAACCAGATGAAGGGGGTGAGTCGCGACTGACCAATCAGAAATGCCGTACACACGTGATCGCGGGCGCGCATGAGCGTTGGTTCCGCTGCTGCTCGCCGACAGTAGTTTATGATGCAGCGCGTGCTGACGTTGAGACTCGCGCCGCTCCGCGTCTTGAGGAGGAAGCCCTCGCTGAGCGTCAGACCCGCGGCCAGCATGTCCAGCTTGCTCATCACCCAGCCCCAGTACAGCTGGCTGAAGGAGCTGGGCCTCCACGAGGACAACGCCGGCGTGTATAACGGCGCGTGGGGGGGTCAGGGAGAGGTAAGAGGAGCTCGCGAGCGTCACGCGCGCTAAATATAGTAAAGCCGAAGCGGTCTCATTCTTTCATGCTGGAATATACTACAATCACTTGAGTTTATTGTGTGATGGTTGAATGATCTGCTCTGGTCAAGTTTGTGAACCTGCTTTCTCATGAAGTAGTTCTGTACAATTAAGCTAAGTTACACCAAGGTTCAGAAGTGAAAAGAGTCAATCTATTCAAACTGTTATTGTAAGTTAACTGAAATTAGACATCAACTCATCTGGCAAAACATTTACAGTCTGTGGGGAATAAACGCTGATGGTTGAATCATGTGTGAAAGAAAGAAAAGAAAATAGAAGAGGGCACAAAAAGAAAAAGAAAACATTAAGGGAGAATATTAAACATGGCACATTCTGGATGTTTTCATTCCTTTCTTGTTAACAGAAGTTGAAATTGTATTTAAATACATCTTCAAATCTTCTTTGAAAAGCTAAAGTGGGGTTTACTTTTCATATATTTACATTTATGGATATGAAACTTTCCAATATATAAAAGAAGGTTTATACAAAAACATGCATTAATTAGATTCTTGTCTTTGACATAAAACCCAAAAAGAATGTGTCTATATGATAAAGAAAAGTTACAAAAAACCTTTTGGACAATCAGAGCATCATTATTGTTCCAGAAAGACAGAGTAAAAGGACATTCCCAAAACAAATGATCAACAGTTTCAGAGGAGGCTTCACGAAAAGAGCAGGAAGTAATTTCTAAATTTCTTTAAAAAGTATTTAACTGGATAAAATCTTTGAATAATTTTATAGGATATTTCTTTAGCTTTATTTGTTCGAAAGAACTTCTGAGGAAGTGACCAAACATATGACCATTTAATATCATCAAAAAGGTTATTCCAATAAGAAATGGAGGAAGGAATTGAAGTAACAGGGTCCAAAAATAATGACCTAATTTTATAATTGGATTTATGTATTGAAAAACAAATAGAACCAACCACAGTGGATTCAGGGCTAGGGGGAGAAACAGAAGTCACTGTGGCACTATTATTGATTCTAAACAGCATACACATTTCCAAAGAGATGGCCTTGAAAGCTATATTAAATTCTTTACTAGATACTGGGAATTGGTATCCTGAAACAAAATCGGAATAATTAAATAAATTACCTTCACTATCAAATAGCTGGTTTACTAACATCACTCCATTATTGAACCAGTTTTCAAGAAATAAAGATTTCCTCTTATGAAGAATATTACAGTTGTTCCAAATGAACAAATTGTGTGGTGAGAAATTATGCTTGTAAATAAGTTTCCAAGCCATAAGCATCTGCTGATGATAATTGGAAAGTTTGACAGAAAGTTTACTAATTGAATAATTGCACATTAAAAGAAAATGTATACCTCCTAATTGAGAAAAAATATATCACCAAATAGAAGATTGATTGTGAAAGAAACGTTTAAGCCAATTCATTTTTAAGGTATTGTTAAGAGAATCAAAATCAATGAAATTTAAGCCACCTTTAATATAAGAATTAAAAATAACTGATTTTCTAATATGAGTTTTATTTTTCCAAAGAAATTTGAGCAACATTACATCAATCAACTTGCAAGTAGATTTATCCACAAATAAAGACTGAGCAGCGTAGGATAAGCGAGAAATCCCTTCTGCTCTGGTAAGCAGAGTTCTGCCTTTCAAAGATAGATCTCTTAAACAACCAAAGGTTACATTTTTTTGTGTGTTTTCTCCACAACTGAACTCAAATTCATCTGACATCTTAATTTAGTATCTTTTATTATTTTTATTCCTAAATAGGTGACACTTTCTTTGATGGGAATGTTTGAGATTGAGGTTGCAGCACATTTTTTTATCGGGAGTAATTCGCATTTATTAATATATAGAAAAAGTATATATATATATATTTTTTTTTTTATGTCTGGTGCAAGGGGCGGCTCTGTGAGCACACAAAAAATTTCGTTGTACTTCGACAGTGCAATGACAATAAAGGCTATTCTATCTCTTAGAAACAATGCTGTATCATCTGCCAGTTGGCTAATAAACAATTCCGTACCTGCAATAGAAATTCCCTTCACAGGGCTCTCTTTAATATGTAAATTTAAAAATTGTGTAGCTATTCGAAAAAGATATGGGGAAATGGGCCAACCTTGTCTTACACCACGCTTTAAAAAATAAACCTAGGAGAGGTGCCATTATTGAGTCGGATAGAGCTATTACCATTACAGTAAAGCATTTTATTAAATCTGCAAAACAAATGACCGAAACCCAATCTGTGCAGAGCTTGTAACATAAATTCGTGTTCTAAGCAATCAAATGCTTTATAATAGTCAAGAAAGAGGATAAAACTATCAGTAGAAATAAGGTCTGAATAATCCAACAAGTCAAAAATCAAGCGTAGGCCTATATTATTAGAAATATGTCTCTGATGCATAAAACCTGATTGGCACTCATCTATTATATTATTAAGAATAAGTTTTAGCCTCTTTTGCTAAAACTAAGGCAATCATTTTATAATCGGTATTCAAAAAAAGAGATCGGGCGCCAATTATCTAATAGAAGGGGATCTTTATTGGGCTTGGGAATCAAGGTTATTAGCCCTTGACATAAAGAGGGAGGAAGCGTGGTTTTCTCAATACTCTCTAAAAACATTTGATGTAAAAAAGGTGCTAATTTTTGACTAAATGCTTTATAAAGCTCTGCAGAAAGCCCATCAGTACCTGGGGATTTGTTACTTTTTAAATTATTTATGGAATCAAGAATTTTTGAAAGACTAATGGGTGCATCACACAGACTACAATCTTCATTATTAATTTGTTTTATGTGAGATAAGGACTCAAAAAATGTCGTGGTGGACTGCTGGCAAAATTTAGAAGAATATAAATCATTATAAAATTTAGCACAAAAGTCTGCAATTATCTTAAAGTCAACAGTTACTTTCCCATCAATACATAGTTGCTGAATATAATTTTTAACTCGCTGGCTTTCTAACCTAAAAATATAGGCAGAACTCTGCTCACCCTCCTCTAGCCAATTCCGGCGAGATCTGATGAAGGCGCCTTTCAGCCTTCCGTTTATGTATATCCTCTAAATTATGTTTTTGATCAACAAGCTCAATTTTTTCGGAGTCTGTAAGATCACCTACATTTTTACATGATAATGACGAAAAAAGCTCTTTTGTTCTCTTTACGGGCCTTTTCAACTATGGGCCAAAGCGTAATCCTCCTCGCTCTATCGGCCGGTGACAGATCTTCCGTGATTTTCAGTCGGTTCTCAATCAGAAACTCCGCGTCCTTGGCCAGACAGCATCTCGGTAAAAACGCGAGGTGAATTGGAAGATGATTTCACGAGCTTTATTATTTGAATTAACACGGCCAAGTCGGTGTGCCACATCAACTACTTCAGGGAATTTATCTTTAAATTGTGGTAGAAGACGTTGGCACACGTTGATAACCTCATGGCGGACGTTTTCTCTTTCTTTCTCTGGAATTCCGTGGATTCTCAGGTGTCATCTGCGGGTGTAGGCTTCTAGATGAGCCAGGCGATTTTCTCGCTCACTGGAGTTAATTTCTTCTTTCTTCATGCGGGAATAAATAGAATCAACTCTTTTTTTCAAACTTTTAACCTCGCTGCAAACAAACTCAATGGTTTCCATCATTCCAGAGATTCGTTCCGTATTCCTACAGATCTCTTCCTTCATGTCTTTAATCACCCGCGAGTTTTCGCCAATCAACTTTTCCAAACCGTCTGATCTGTTTTTCACCAACAGAGAGCTCAGAGAGTTGTGTGGAAATAATTGCCGCATTAACGTTATCAGTTCTTCGAAGTTTAATGGCCGGGGAACTGCACGGGGTGTCGGGAAGCGGTGGAATCACCTCCTCCGCCAGCATAATTTCAGACTCAGCAATTTGTTCACAATAATCATGCAAACTGTCTTTCAATACCCCGGATGCAGGATAAACTGCTTGTTTATCGTCACCTGTGCTAGCAGATCTAGCAGGAGTATCCGACACTGTTTTTCTTGACTTCTTCGCACCTTTCCTCTTTTCAGACCCTCCCATTATTGTTGTTCCAAGAATTCAAAACATAAATTTACGGAAATTCTCAACAAAAAAAATCTCTTAAGTTCGTTATAAACTACTATAAAACAGTTTGGGATTGCTGACCTCACAAACGTACATGTGATCAGGGCGCCATCTTGCACGCTCCCCCCTTCAGCAGAGAGCTTGACTAAATGCCACATATATTTGCTAAACAAAGTATTACAAAAGAAAATAAAGTATTAAACCAAATATCAATAGATTAATGTTTGTCTACATTGATAATGTAAACATGATCAAGATTAACATGAATCCCCCCCCCCCCCCATATAAACCTATTATTTAAAATAACACTTTACTTAAGCTTTCATTGTAATAATTGCTGTAATGTCATCATATCTGATACTTATTATTAATTGTTATATATACGGTTTTACTGTCGCTATTCCAGGGTATTAACAAGTCATCAAAAGACGAAAGCTTTAGGGGCACTATTAATTTTGCACCTACAATATTCTAAGATTAGAGTAAACTTTATAGTTACCTACACAATGTGATGACAAGGCTCAAGCTCAACCCTCTACGCACACTGTGGCAATAGAATCCCTGCTGGCTCGTACATTTTTTAGTTTTAGCAGGGTTCCCGCGGGGTCTTAAAAAGCCTTAAAAGCATTGAATTTATGAATTTGGAAATAATACCTTAAAGTAACACCAGGTAACTTTTCAACCTTCATAATATACTTCCAAGTCTCCTGTGATGGTACATCGACTTACAATAGGTTGAATGACACGTCTGCCATAGCCTGACGGGGTCTGTGGCGTTTTTAATCGTACTTTTAAACTTCGGGTTTCGGGTAGTAACCGGCGAACAAAGAGAACTACAAAATTCGACTGCTTTACGGCATATACGTCACTTCCACCGGGGGCAGGGGGCAGAAGTTGACCCCTTAAGACACAGCCCCTCCTCATTTGCATAATGAGGCAGAAATGCATACAGAAATGTAAAAACGACAGGCAGAAATAAATGGCATTGAAGAAATAAATAGGGTAAAAAAATACAAAGGAAGAATAAAACAGACAAAAATATTATAACATGCACATAAATAAATACTTAAAAAAATAAGTAATTAATAAGTAATTAATAAATAAAGTTGAAGATTATAACGGACAATAAATAAATAAGGTAATTATTACAAAGGTGAATAAATAAAGAAGCTAATTAAAAGAGATATATACATTTATGTCTCACTGTATAATTTAATTTCTACCTACATTTATTTGTTTATTGTATTTTTTGGGGCAATTAATTGTATGCTTATTTATTTATTGAGCATTTATTTATTTCTGTACTTATTTTTAAATATGGTAGAGTTGGTCCTCCATAGTCAGTGTATTTCATTGACGAATATAATGACGAAAACTTTTCTTCAATGACATTCTTCACTGACGAAAACGAGACGCTAGTAAATAAACCTAGTTTTGAATGACAAAAACAATGACGAAAATCATTGAGTTTTTCAATCGTTGACATTTTCGTCAACGAATAAAAACTAGATGAAAATGTTAGATCGTGTCGATCTGGGAAGCGATCCAGTCAGAACTGATGTCCTGCGTGTGTGCTAAATGCACACATTTGTACTGTAACGTGCTGATCTACCCCGTGGTCTCATAAAATGTTAAAAATGTAAACCAACCAACCCGAAGCGTGGAGCCATGCACATAGACACCATACAGCGCGCGAGTACTGAACTGATGAGCTCTCTTTCGTGTCTGAATGGACAAATACACACAACATTATGTCTAAATGTCCGGTTTGGACAGTATTCATGTAAACTATGTCGGTTATGTTAAACAGTTGTATCGGGTGTGCATCAGTGCAATCGTATCCGCATTGGACATGTCTTAAAGTCCAAAGTCCCATTGGCCGATGTCTTAAAGTGACAGTGGCAATAAACATAATGCGGTCTGTGTCATTAATTTTGATCAAGCAACAAAATAAAAAGAGAAAAGCATTCACTGTTTGTTAATAGCTTTAATAAGGATTAATTATATTTAATTCATACAAATAATTGTCTACTTGAAAGAATAAAGTATGATGTATGTAAGTTGTTATAAAGAATGCATATATCATTAATTGAAAAGAAGACTGTTTTACTTCAGGAAAAGTGGTTTTATTTATTTTTAAGATATTTTTTTAAGTCACAGTAGTTAAATCTGTATTGCATGTTCAAACTTAAAAATCATTCATATTAATAGGTTAACAAATGTTTTTAGGATGCTGTTTAATGAGTTATGTTTAATGAGTTATGTTTAATGAGTTATGTTTAATGAGTTATGTTTAATGAGTTATGTTTAATGAGTTATGTTTAATGAGTTATGTTTAATGAGTTATGTTTAATGAGTTATGTTTCATACAGGTGATCACTTCATACTGTCCAGCCAACAATGAGCCCATTGCCAGAGTGCGTCAGGTAACGTAAACTGCTTTTTTTTTTCATAAGACAATGCATTACTGAATAAACGCATATTAAGAGGCATGATTCGTTCCCTGAATGAATGTTGTCTTTATGCAGGCGACCGTAGCAGAATATGAGGAAACGGTCCAGAAAGCACAAGACGCGTGGAAAGTGTGGGCAGACGTAAGATTTCGTATTATCAAGCATTGAGTAGGGCTGGGTAATTCAAGCTAGGGGTGGGCGATATGGCAAAAATATCATATCACGATTTTTTTCAGGAAAATCACGATTCACGATTTTATCACGATTCTTGGTTTTACTATTTTGTGACTGAGCATTACAGCCAAACTAATGTCCATATTTTAAAAACAAAGCCTTAGGTAACAAAATATAAAATAAAAAAGAATGGCAGACAGGGGTGAAGATAAAACATTTTTCATTATTTTCTTTGTTATTAAATATTAAGATCAAAGATACACATACAAATTAAATAAACAGTGCTTTATGTTTTCAGCTACAGTAGGTGTATTTAACAGTAGCATTGAAGAAAGTAATTAAATAAACATAAAACAAAACATAGAATTCACTGTATAAATTATACATAATACTTATTAAAGCTACTATTAAAAGTTATCAGTCAAGAGGAGTAAGTGATTTTCTCTTTGCATTTTGTTGTTTTATTAACATTTAAGGGATAGTTCTCCTAAAAATATATAATTGTCATAATTTACTCTCTCAACTTCTTTTAAACTCGAATAAGTTATTTCTTCTGTTGAAAATAAAAGTTATTTGGAAGACTGTGGGTAACCAAACAGTTGATGTACCCCAGTGACTTCCATAGTATATTTTTCTCCTATGGAAGTCAATGGGGACGAGCTACTGTTTGGATAGCCACATTCTTCAAAATATTAATATTAGAAAAATATTAGAAGGAAATTAATACAGGTTTGGAACAACATTAGTAAATAATGAGATAAATTTTTTGGGGGGGGGGTGAACTATCTCTTTAAGGACAAGCGGTAGCATGTTTACTATTGCTACTGTCTCTTTAAGAGCTGTGCGCGCCGCGTCTAATATACACGCATTTGACAAGCAGATTTTCTCTCAATTTTCTCAAGTTTGCTTTCACTTAGACATAACTGACTTTGTTTGTGTAAACCTCTACTGTATTTGACAGTATTAGCACAATAAGACTCGAAAGATAACTTAGTCCAGTATCCAGGCGCTGGTAGACAGGCTTTTAGTGCATGTGAGCTTCACATGTACGCGCTGAGAAACGCACACGTTAGAACAGCGCATCAGCACGCGAATAAATGTTTAACCGACAAGGCATTAAAGCACATGCAAATCATGAACTTTTGTGAACTGCAGTGTCTCGTTCCGCTGCGTTAACATTTTATGTGAATATACGTCGCGTTGTTCAGCATGTTGGGCCAGAGGCGCCAGAACAGCAACTGATAGAATGCATGATACTACGATATTTCTTCAAAAGCAGATCGTGGAGACATTTTAATCGTCCACGATCAAAAATCGTCATATCGCACACCCCTAATACAAGCTACGTGATGATGTGGTGAACATCATAATGCGCACAACTGACGTATGCCAGTAATTTCATTACAGGATTTCCATATACAGTTTGTAACTTTCCCAAACCACTGTCTATAAACATTTAACTTGTGTTGGGGAAATGGTAGAGCAAAGCCTCTGCTCCTCATTTAGGGTCACACTCACACTCTTGTGTAAATTTTTTTTTTATTTTTTATTTTTTTTTTTTATAAACTTTACTCTACTATATTCCTCTCCACCGCCTCTAAGACGCAAAAGCGATGCCTGATTTGTGAACGAACTGATTCTTTCCAATGAACCGGCTAAATTGGTTCGCAAAGTGCAATGGTCTCCACGATCAGCTTAGCTCAGTGCTTGTTTATGTATGCATGAGATGTGTAATTCTTGATAAAAGTGGTCCACAGATATACATCTGGTCTGAACCCTTGTCCACGCGTGTCATTCAGGTTCCTGCTCCGAAGAGAGGTGAAATCGTTCGACAGATTGGAGACGCTCTCAGAAGGAAGATCACCGCTCTCGGCAGCTTGGTGAGATGTCATGTCGATGCCTGTACAGATGCCGTAGATGAGTGGCTAAGCGCTGACATGAGCTGTGTACAGGTGTCTCTGGAGATGGGCAAGATCTACGTGGAGGGTGTGGGCGAGGTGCAGGAGTACGTGGATGTGTGTGACTATGCCGTAGGACTGTCCCGTATGATCGGCGGACCCATTTTACCCTCTGAAAGTGAGTTTGCTTCACATTAAGCTTTCCTGTAGCTCAAACAGTTGAGTATTAGCGCATGCAACACCAATGGCATGGGTTTGATTCCCAGGGAAAGCAAGAATTGATAAGAATGTAAACGTGTACCTATGGATGGTTCTACTTCAGAACCGGTGCCCAGTGAAACAATTCCTTGGAACCGTTAGTATGCCTGCTTAACGATTCCGCTTATCGGCTCCGCTCGTTGCAAATGTGTCATTACGTCACACACGCGCTGCGTTGTTTTAGTTCAGAACGCAGCAAACATGGCATCGAGGCACAAGCGAACAAAAAAAAACTCTAAAGTTTGGTTATATTTCAAGGACGACAATATATGAGGCGCCATCTAGGGCTTAAATCAAACGTCATTCACGCACACATATATGAAACACTTGCATACACATACTAAGTAGTCAAACATACATGTATACTGCTGAATGCTCAAACAAATACATATGAAATGCACAACGACACAAAGTCGCTCACGCACATACACGCAAACTCTACACACACGAGATGCACGGAATTCTCCAGGCACATACTCATATGAGACGCACGCCGCGCACACACAAACTCTCCACGCACATGCTCATATGAGACGCGCGCACACACAAACTCTCCACGCAGGCACGCACATACTCATGAGACGCACGCCGCGCATACACAAACTCTCCACGCACATGCTCATATGAGACGCGCGCACACACACAAACTCTCCACGCAGGCACGCACATACTCATATGAGACGCACGCCGCGCACACACAAACTCTCCACGCACATGCTCATATGAGACGCGCGCACACACACAAACTCTCCACGCAGGCACGCACATACTCATATGAGACGCGAGCACACACACAAACTCGTGCAAATACTCGATGAGAAACGTAACCCGAATCTACAGCCGTAACACACACGCGCGCATGCACACATCACTTTTGAAGTAAAAGTGAAATTAAGGATGCAGTGCATCGAGATATCGAATTGAACTGAATCGATGACATGATAATCGCAATCGAACCGAACCGTGAGACCAGTGTAGGTTCACACCCCTAATACCCTTATAACCCTGTATTTATTTCCTCACCCAATGAGAATCGATAAGGAATCGAATCGATAAGCAATATCGATAATGGAATCGGAATCGTTAAATTCTTATCAATTCCCATCCCTACGCGTATCTTGAAATGCAATGTAAGTCGCTTTGGATAAAAGCGTTTGCCAAATGCATAAATGTACATTATACATGCATGTAAACTGGGCTGTGGTTGTATTTAAATCAATTGAGGCACTGAATGTTTTTTGGCTGTTTTGAGGGCCGGGCCACGCACTGATCGAGCAGTGGAATCCTGTCGGCTTGGTAGGAATCATCACTGCCTTCAACTTTCCTGTGGCCGTGTATGGCTGGAACAACGCCATCGCTCTCATCTGCGGAAATGTCTGCCTCTGGTTAGACTCGCTTTTCTCCTCGGGTGTCAACTGGATGCAGAGTAATAGCATTCAATATGCAGTTAATGACTTATAATTATTTTCACAGGAAAGGAGCTCCGACGACACCCCTCACAAGTGTTGCCGTTACCAAGTACGTCATTTACATGTATTTGCCCCCCCCCCCATTGTTATTTCACATTTATTACTGAGCGAAACGGCTTCTCAAATAAGAAAAAAGGCAGGACTTGCTTTTATGTATTGGTCAGGATTGAGTGTATTGTGGGAAGGGTTGCTGAAATGAAGGCGCACCTGAGAGCCACTGGCTGAACTGCAGCCTTGCATACGTCAGCATATCTCATGAAGAGCAAGCTAAGGCATTGTGAATAGATTGCAAGGTCAAAATAATTGTTCTTAATAAAACCAGTTAAGTGCATTATGACAATAACTAGTAAATGTTGCTTTCTTGCTGCCCCTCAAAGAGAAACTGTTAATCAGTGCGCTTAAAGATCATGTAAGATTTTTTTTTTTTAAAATACTGTACAATCTTAATCTTGATTATTGTTCATTGACTGCTATTAGCATGCCATTATGGGTTTGAAAACCCACGGTTCGGATCATATTACAGGTTTTGAGTTTTCAGTTTAAAAAAACCCTTTTCTTTCCATTTATTACTTAAAGAACACTAAGTACTTTTTCGATGCCACACAAAAACCACTTGCCTAGTCATGGTAAGGGCTGTTACATCTCCGAAACACGCTCTAAAGTTGTAGACCAATCATAGCAGACTGATTCCAGCTGACCAATCAGAGCAAACTGGGCTTTTCGGAAGGCGGGTTTTAAAGAAACCGAAACTAAAAAAGAGCATTCAGAAAGAGGGTAAAAAACTGGTGGTGAAACCATCTAAATGATTAGAAAAATTTGTTAAAATGATCTATGTAAACATTAAATTATGTACAAATATTTTAGTTGACCCCCTAATCAAAATTATGAACCTGTAAGTGAGCATTATAGGGGCACTTTAAAATAGGCAGAAACTGTTATAAATTCAATATTGTATGATACATTTTAAAAACACTGATAACAGAGAATGTATTGTGTATCTCTAATTTTGATAAGTTACGGTCTCGAGTTTCAGCTCTTGAGTTTGTAGTGTTTTCTCTCTTATATCCGGACCCTGATTTTGATTTTCTTTCTTCTTTTGTTCATGTTCTTGTGTAGGATTGTAGCGGAGGTGTTGGAGCACAATCATCTTCCCGGTGCGATCTGCTCTATGACGTGCGGTGGTGCGGACATCGGGTATGTGACAAATACACAAATTTGAAATAAAGCACATTAATACTCTGAATAGTTTAGCACTTGTCACACTAGAACATTTTGACTGTTATTCTGATACCATACTCTTACTGTACAGAGAAAAAGCATTTAGTGTGTGTATGTGTGTGCGCAGCACGGCCATGGCAAAAGATGAGCGAGTGGGTCTACTGTCCTTCACAGGCAGTACTCATGTGGGCCAACAGGTGGCCATGATGGTACAAGAGCGGTTCGGTGGGTTTTATTCTCTATATCACATATCAAATCATACAACATTATGCACTCGCATGGAACAGGACAGGCAAAGAGCCTCGAGCCGGGCTCAAGCTTAAGCTGTGCCATATGCTATTGCTCCAAGACATGCCTTTAGCTTTAATCACTGCAATAAAGGATTACGTTTTGTGTTGACAAACAAACAAACAATGTCTGTTAGATATGTCAGAAAGCACAAATCTGTTGTTCTCCATCTACATTCTCTTTTCAATCTTGCTGCTTTTAGGTTACAGGTGGCTAGAGATCTACAGAAGGAAATAATTGCTTTTCTTAGTACAGTCACAGCAATCATTAATCATTAATAATACAGTAAATGGATTTTCTTATAATATAGAAATATTCAAATAGACAATAATATGCTCTTAAACAAACTATGTGAAAACAATATAACTAAGGAACAAGCTTCATATGAATCATATAAACAGTAATGACAACAACAGTAAATAATCCTCCTCATTAGGGATGCACAGATATCGGTATCGGGCTGGTACTGCGCTCATGTTCTCGGACTCATTAAAGTGCTCAAAACATCGGAAAACTGTCTGACATCGGAAACTTTTCCTGACATCAGGAAAACCTAGAGCTTCACGATTAATCGTTAAAAGATGGTGATCTCAATCCAAACACCCATACGATCTTATTCCTAAATGACAACGATTTGACTGTCTATTAAACCTTTGACAAAATCACACCGGATCAGTGAAATCTGTGTTGGCGCTGCTGCTGATCCAGAGAGGGTAGTTATGATGTACCGTATAGGTGTGAAACGGCTTCACCAACACTGTTTTCAATCACACAGTATCATTATTTCTGTCTTAAAAATAAGTAAATCACCTTTTGAAAGTCACTTGGTGCTTTAAAGGGGCATTATGCAGAAATCCCGTTTTTGTCAAACAGCGACCCCTAGAGTTACTGTGGAGTGCTTGAATTTAACGTTACTGTCGTAAATACCACTCACTCAGAGCGTGACATGGCCTGTTACATAGATAGTATACAATAGTACATTGTGTTTAATTTGTCGTTTAATGAGATATAATATATGTTGTTAGTGGTGAGAATTTTCACGTGATTAAATACATAGATCCGACAATTTTAATGGTCCAGAGGCAGAACTTTTGCAAGTGTGTCAGAGGTTCTGGGTTCTAGTCGGTACTAGTAGTATAGTTTATTTTCCTCATCAAAACCGATTGTTTATTAGTGGTTGTATTTCAAGCAGGGACATGTTTTTTGTGCATTAGGTTTTGTGATTTTACCATAACAAAATATAGAGAGTATCTCAGTCCCCGCAACGGATTCAGGCGCGCGTCACAACAGAACACTGTAACTTATCTGCACCACTGATCGCAGAGGCAACGAGCACTTTGGTCACTTGATTTCAAAAATAACACATTTTAGATCGCCTCTTATTTAACAAACAGACGAAATGAATGCTCTACTAGAGTTACCTGGAGATGTTTTATTTGTTTGTAATGGTATCGTTACATCCGTGCCGCGAGAAGTTTCAATGGGGACATAACACACCCGCAAATTATGCCTATGCTCGTGTCCGACTCCTCGCTCGGTCAGTCTGCCGTTTCCTCTTTCTCTGTTCCTCCGACAATGCTTTCCTAGCTTTCTGCATCTTATATGCCGGCTCAGCCATGACGATAGTGTGACAAACTCCATCCATCTACCTTGTTCCTGTGTGTATGTGTGCAGTTGCCGTAAAGGAATATGTTACATCGCGAGAGCTGATATCACGCGATACTTCCTGACGCGGCCCGCCGCACCAAAGTTGCAAGTGGGATTTTTTCGCTCACAGGCACCAGGGGGGGTCGAGACGCCCACCATTCAACCCGAAAGAAGTTATATAAACATTTCAATAACTCTGAAGCTGTTCAGTTAAGCTAAAAAAGCTGCATAGTGTCCCTTTAAATAAAGATTGTATTGACTACATCATTACACCAGTAGGTGGCGACAAGTGAAATGTATTTGTCATTGAATAATTCAAGAGATTTGTTCATAAACGCTGATTCATCCAGTTATGAAACAAGTGAAGTATTTATGAATCATTCATTTAAACTATTTTAAAAAATCATTCAAATTATTTAAACATTTAAAACAGGCTTTTGTCCAAACTTCTAGTAAGTTGCATGTTATTTTGTTTAGTTGGTTGTTCAGAATTGTGAGAATCGTGATATATATTTGAAACAAAACAAAAAAATGTATCCAGAATCGTGCAGCTCTAGGAAAACCCTAAGACATTGGCTTGGTTCCTGATTTGACACATGATTTTTTTTACAGGTCGTCAGCTACTGGAGTTGGGAGGAAATAACGCCATCATAGGTTTGTTGCATTTAATTCATTGAAAAGGGTTTGGTTGGAATAAGCTATATAAAGGCCCTTTCACACCAAGGACGATAACTATAATGATAATGATATAGTTCTATACAATTGTTATAAAATAAATATAAAGAAACAGCAGAGTTCACACCACAGCTATAAGGATATCGTTGGAATCCCTTTCAGAAAGATGTTTTCCAACTGATGAACAATAAAAAATACCGACAGCCAATCAGAATCTATTCCACTTTAAAGAGCTCGAGCATTCAAAACAACAGACGACAAAACTGCAGTGCACACTTATAATAAACAGTGTTATCATTTGTTGGTGTGGACGCTAATATAGTTATGGTTATCCTTATAGTTATTGTTCTTGGTGTGAACGGGCCTTTAGTCTTTTGAGTAATGATAATTGAATAAACTGTAGGGCTGCAACAACTAGTTAATATAATCGATAATGAAAATAATTGACGACAAATTTTATTATTCAATCACAGAGGAAGCCTGTCAGTGATGTGGCTTTACAGTAATGAACTACGCATTTCTAATCAGAAAACATGCTTGAAAACCTGTGCGGGCCACAGAGTGCAGTAGCGGAGCGGCGTGAGCCCTGTCCACAGCAGGAGCACCGCTTTACACTCTACAGCTGCCAGACAGCTAGCTCTTGTGCTGGATATTACATTTAGCTTCTAAATTGACAATAATTACTTAATCTTACTGATATAGCAAGTAATGATATTTACATGAGAACAGTAACTGTAATGGGATTGAAGTATAAAACATTTACTGTATAACAAACATTTACTATACTTAAATGACAGTAATATGTACTATAATCAGAAGTGAATGAGTGGTCAATCTACCTCTTACGGCAAACCATTTGTTTGTACTTTTTTATCATCGATAATTTATTGATTTATATTGTCCTGCTGCATTCATACATTTGAATCTGTTTTCAAAGGCTCCACCTCCCGTTTGCACATTGTTTTTGGAGGATAAGCTTTGGACATGTGTAATTTCTTTTCTTTATTTTGTCCGATTAATTGAAGAAATAATTGGCAGATTTATCAGTTGTCAACTGTTAGTTGCAGCCCTAATGAATTGTCCTGTAGTTAGTCAACATTTGAAGTGGATCAAAACCTTTCATCAAAGTTATACTTGAATTTTTAACAATACCCGTTTTTGTCTTAGGACAACTTTGATTATTTTTTTGATCCACTTTAAATGTTGACCACTGTTTAATTAAAAAACTGTGATTGCCATTTAGAAATACATTAGTGCAGTTGGCGTGTTCTAGCTAGAGCTGTAAGATGAGCCAGCCGATGCATTAGTAGAGGGTTATTCCGCTGTGTGGAGGAGTCTTGAACCTCATCAGAACCGAGCTCGACTAGCCAGGACTTCCACACTGGGGGAAAACAGTCAGATGTACTGTAGAAATATGAAGGAATTTTCCATATTGGTTATTTTTTACAGGTGTTTTACCTGTATTTTGAATTATGCATTGTATTGTGTATGTTTTAGGATTAACAGAAATTTACGTAAAATTACTGGATAATGTCCTGGCAGAAAATTACCAGTATGTTTTCCAATTTATTTATTTTTTACTGTGTAGACAGTGGATAAGAGCGTTTTAGTGGATAAGCTGGTAGATCAAACAAGTTCTTTTTTTTTTTTTTTTTTAAAGCAAGAGAACAACAACAACAAAAAAAACATCTACAAAACACAATCAAAACAGACAAAAAAAAAATATATATATTACTCAGTATAGAGAAACAGACATTATAAGTGTAGTATACTAAGATTATCACAAAAAGGTTATTCTTTGTTACATTAAAGTATTGAATCACTTGAACCCAAGGAATATATTCGTATACATTTGAAGAATAGATCATATACAATACCTATATGAGTATAAAAAAAAGAACCACTACTGCAACACATTGACCCAATTCTTGTAGAATGTCTGCCCAAGGTCACTAAATCGCAACTGTCTTTATTTTATTCAGTTAATTCAAGAGAACTTCAGTCTTAGAGCATAAGTTAGCTTCTCCATTGTAAAGATATCATGTACTATGTTCTTCCAGTCTTCGAGAGTGGGCAAAGTTGGTTGCAGCCACTTTCTTGTAATTGCTTTCTTGCTTGCTATTGTTTGGATTCTGAACAGGTATTTGTTTGGAAAATCACTGCTAATCAAACCCAAATACATCACCTCAAAACTGAGAGGAATTTGAATCTTAAGAATTATTTCTAAACAATTATGTATCTCATACCAATATTGATTTATTAATCAATATTGGTATGAGATACAAAATTGTTTAGAAATAATTCTTAAGATTCAAGGAGGACAACTCCAGAAAATGTGAAAGTGATTTGCCTTGTCAACCCCACAACTTCTCCAACAATTGGATGATTGTTGCTTGATCTGGGCAGGTGTGGAGAAAAACCTAGAAACACCCTTCCACGCAAACTCTCTCCAGAACAAAGAATGTGTAGTTTTCCATTGTGACTCGCATATGCTTTCCCACTCCTCTACCGAAAGACTCAGATTACCTTCTCGCTCCCATCTGCTCTTTATGTATAATGTGTCTACCTGCTTAGCTTGTTGTAGCCCACCATACAGCTTTGAGATTGTTTTTACAGACATCTGATTGATAGGCTAAAAAAAAAACCTTTAATAAGCCATTTTCTCCTTTCCTTAACACATCTTCTTTAGCATGTTCTAAATAGTGGCGCAGTTGTAGATATCTATAAAAGTCTTGGTTCTCCAGCCCGTGATTTCCTTTAAGCATTTGAAAGCTCTGGAGTTTCCCCTTGTTCATAAATGTCCAATAGGCAGTTAAGCCTTTAGTCGTCCACCTTTTGAACCTGGTATCTGTTTTATTAGGAACGAACTCCGTATCATAGGCACACCAGCGCAGCAATACCATAGAATCTGTCACATTACATAATTTCACTATTTTCTTCCAAATGTTTAAGGATACATTTAACCAAGGATTATCTATAGTTAATAATTTATTTATCAGTCCAATATCGCCCAATGCTGCCTGAACTGGAACATCCTGAGATATGGCACTTTCTATTTCCTTCCATCTAGATTGGTATGCCGGATTACATAAATACACCAAAGGTTTGATCTGGGCAGCATAATAATAATCACTCAAACAAGGTAGTGCCATTCCCCCCTTTCCCTTCGATAGCTGTAGTGTTTTAAATCTAATTCTGGGTTTCTTCCCTTTCCAGATAAATCTTGAAAACAGTTTATCCCATTCTATGAACTGCTTTATTGGTATATTCACTGGCAGAGAATGAAATAAATATAAGTCTCGGTAGAATGTTCATCTTGACTGATTCGACCCTTGAGCTCATGCTTAAAAAGGGGAGAAGATTCCATCTAGATATTTCAGTTTTAATTTTTGTAATTAGAGGTGCAAAATTAGCTTGAAATAATCGTGATATATCTTTTGATAAAATTACTCCCAAATATGTCATTGAAACTGAATCCCAGTTGAGACAAAAACTCCTGGTAATGAAACCAGGTGGCTTATAATTAAAAGTGAGAACCTGGGTTTTCTGTATGTTCACCTTATAGCCTGAAAATGAACCATTTGTCTCAAGAAGTGACATCAATTCTAAAAAAAAGACTGAGTTGGCTGTTTTAAGTAAACTAAAATGTCATCTGCAAAGGCAGCTACCTTGTGCACTCCTGTCCCCATTTCTATACCTATAATTTTGTCATTTTGCCTAATCCACTGGTTAAGGGGCTCTATGAATAGGGCAAATAAAATAGGGCTAATTGGACAGCCCTGACGTGTTCCTCGTTCTAGAGTAATCTGATTAGAAAGATCACCATTCACCTTGATTCTCGCTAGTGGTTTATCATATAATGCTTGAATAACATTAATAATAGATTGGTGAAACCCAAATCGTTTCATAACCATAAAGAGGTACTTCCACCTAACAGAGTCGAATGCCTTTTCCGCATCTAATCCTACTAATAAAGCTTCAACATTGTGTTTAGTTATATGGCTCATAATATGTAGAGAACTCCTAATATTATCTTGAGTTTGTCTCAGCCTGACAAACCCAGTCTGATCTGGATGAATAAGTTCTGGAATAATTACATCTAATCTTCTAGCCAGAATTAGATGTAAATAGTTTGTAATCCACATTTAAGACACTGATAGGTCGGAAATTTCCACACTCAGTTTTATCCTTACCTTCCTTCGGTATAACTGAAATAATGGCTTTCCTCCATGAGGGAGGGACCACCCCACCTTTTAATATCCAATTGAAGGTGGCAAGTAAGATAGGGGACAATGGCTCTCTAAGGGATTTATACCATTCTGAGATGAATCCATCGGTGCCTGGAGACTTGTTTACTTTCAACCTCCTAATAGCTATGTTCAACTCCTCTTCCTTTATTTCAGATAATAGTCTCTTGTTATTTTCTGCAGAGACTGTAGATAGATTTAAAGAATCAAGAATTTTTGTCCCCTGAGAATCTTCATCTATTTTCCTCTGGGAGTATAGATTCTTATAAAATAATTCAAAATTTTTACGAATTTCATCCGAGCCATTTTCTATTTTTTTGGTAGTAGGATAAGGATTACGGATCCTGTAGCTCGAATTTTCCGCCTGTTGTTTCAAAATCTTTATGCGAAGAGTTTAATAGATTTGCCTCCCACTTCGTAGTATTTTTGCTTAGTAAATATAAACTTTCTCTGTACTTCTTGCATGTACAAATCATTCATTTCTTCCTGAGTCTTTTTAATCTCTTTTTTCACCTTGGAGTCCAAATTCCTCATGTGTTGTCTTTGTAACTGCTCTAGATGTTTCTGTAATTTATTAAGTTTCTCCTGCCTGGTCTTTTTGAGTAGCGAAGTGATGGCAATAATTTTCCCCCTCATCACCGCATTACATGCATCCCAGAGGATAGGTGGCGAAACCTCCTCATTGTCATTATTTTCTAAGTATGTGTTAATTTCTTTTTGTCCATTTAAAAT